CCCCAAAACCCCAAAACCCCAAAACCCCAAAACCCCGTTCAATTTCTGATATTGAAATGAATGATTTTGGATTAAAAATAACGAATTTGGATTGTATTTAAATTACGTAATGAAAATGCATTAAAATAGAAACCACAGATTAAACAAGAAAACTCCATCAATACAGATTTTTCTTAAGGTTCCAATTAGATATTGCAAGTGGTTATCATTAGCAATTATAAGATCCCTTACAGTATTTGATGTAAAGCTATTTAAAACATAAAACACCCAACTTTGTAAATCAAATACAGCAGCATCAGCACAATGGTCACTGCTGTGATGACTCTGTACGCGACAATGGTTTTGATGCTTCTGAACCCATGCGAGTCCGGAGCCAGCTTTGCATACTCTTGCTTGTGAGCATTGGGCTGATCACCTGTGAAACCTTTAGAAGTCTGTTTGAAAGTAGCCAAGAGTCCGAAGTGGTCTGAAGATTGCAAACAGAACCCATCGATGCGTTCTTTAGCTACCATTTGGATATCGATGAGGTCGAATGCGTTGGAGTTTTTGAGGCAAATTCTGTCTAGTCTCATTCTTCTGTTATCTAGAGGAAACAACCACCTAGACATAGCATTCTCTTGAGGATCCCAAGAGTAGCCATCAAAATGAGAATGCCTCTCAAGCCAGAGATCATGAAATCCATATTGGTCTCAGATTTTGCTTTCTCCTGGATAATGTAAGTTTAGATCGCCTAACAAGAAGATGGTATCTTTAGGTGACTTTATATTTAACTCTTTAAGTTTCTCAGCGATTATTCCCATTTCTTTAGCTCTTTCTTCTGTTTTCTGCTCATAAGCTGTAAGATGAGCACAAACAATAATGAATTGCTGTTTTTCTTTTGTGATTTTAGCAATCACAAATCTTCCATCTTCATGAGTTAATCACTCCATGGGATACTTAGAGACAACCATAGGAGTGTGTCCATGCTTAATGTAATTAGTTTGTTTTGTTCTTGTGTAACCTCCTTCCTTATAAAACTTTGAGGCCTCTAGCATTTCAATGTATGTTTCAGTAACTTCTTGTAGACAAAGAACATCTGGTGCTAATCTAGGAAATAGGGTTTCAAAATGGTAGGTGTATCTTTTCTCAAAGTTTGTGATACTCTTAATTAACCTTCTTGGCATAAAAAGATGGTTTCCTAATATCGGAATAAGTATGTTATAGCTTAATAAAGTTAGGTCAACTTTATCCTCTTTCTTCATATTGGTATCTGTCTTATTAACGTTCCTCATATAAGGTAAGTCTTGGTTTGTTTTCATCGCAATTATTTATTTTACTCATAAAATTCTTTCTATAAATAGAGTTCCTTAAGGGGTTTTGGGGTTTTGGGGTTTTGGGG